GGCTGGCCTGTCTGTGCCCTTCCCAGGCATGTCCCCCACCTGTCTGCAGATGGAGACTGTCCCCTGAGGCCGTGCTGGGCTGTGCTACTTCCTGTCCAAGCTCACACTGGGGAGAGACACATGAACTTGGCAGATACACATGTGGTTGGCACTGACCCCAGCACAAGTCAGGCTAGCGCTGACCAGTGAATGGAGGCCCTGCCTGCAGATGACTGGAGTGCTGTGGACAGTACTTTAGTCAACAGGAAAGTGCTTTTCCGGCTCATGGGAGCTCAGTGTGGTGAGAAAGAGGCTGAGCTGGAGGACTCAGATCCCATGGGTGTGGGTCTGTCCCTGCCCTAGCCAGGTGACACCCAGGCCCAGCTCTGAGGCGGGCAGGGGACTGCATGGGCCTAGGTTAGCACCATGGGAAGAGCAGGCTGGGAACTGATGGACGTGTGGAAAGGCTAGCGCCCAGGGTCAGGGTGGCCAGGCCTGGAGGCACTGAGAGCTTCCCAGGAGGGCATAGACTACAACCCTGTGACAGATGAAGTCTTGGGGAGGCCAGGGCCTGAAAGTAGAGCCCCAGCCCTAGGAGCTCTGAGCATACAGGGAAGTAGGCAGAGCTGGGGATGATATGGCTGTGAGTGGGGGCAGCAACCAGCCTCTCAGCAGCCAGCTCACAGCCCTGCCATCACCCACGAGTCAGGGTCAGTGCGGGCCGCTGGGTGGAGGTGTCACCTCCAGAGCTGGCAAGGGTCTGGGCCCAGGCACTGGACAGCAGGTCTTCCTGCTGAGGAGCTGAGCTGGGTGAAGGGTGACCATGCTGTGGACTGTGTTGGGTCTCAGCAGGCCTGTGCTCTAGGGGTAAGATCGCCCCGTGGATGCAGGCTGTCCTGGGCCTGGCGGGTCTGAGGGAACTGCAGCCCTACCCACGCTGGCTCGCAGGCCTGTGCAGGGCTGGGTGGGCTGTGGTAGGCCACAGGCTGAGCTGGTGACTTGGGCAGTGTCTGCCTGGGTAGGACCCTTTCTGTGACTCCAGCTGTTCACGTTGCCCACTGCCTCAGAATCATCATCCCTGCTGTCCTGTTGTGTCTTGGCTCCCTTTGTACACAGGACTCTGGGCCAGGGAGGCCTTGTGTGTGCCCCCATGGTGCAGGGCACAGACTGAGTTGAGTCTGAGCGCGGTCTCCCCACGTCCCTGTGCCTGTTGTGCACTGCAGTCTGTGGCCCTGGGCTTGCTGACTTCTGTGAGGAGAGGACACTGGTGGTTCCCCTCCCTCTTCTCAGCGGCACACTCCCCAGGGCCCTGAGTTAAGAGTAGAGCTACCTGCCTCCTGTGTGGCCCTGACTCTGGGCCCCAGCCAGAGAATGTGGGTGGGGCTTTGGGAGAGGTGTAGGGTGGGGTCTAGGGATAGGGCTAGGGGCTGGACCTGGAGAGAGGCTGGGGTGGAGTCTGGAGATGGGGGCGGGGCTTGAGATTGGACAAGGGGAGGGGTGGGGAACATCCCCCCACATTCCTCCCTCTGACACTTCCTGGCATTGGGAATAGTGTGGGTTAACTGGCAGCTGACAGTCCTGGGGTGAATTTACATACAGAATTCAGTCAGGGACTGATATGGGGCCTTCCATTACCCTGGCCAGGATGCACCCTAGTCCTGCTGCTAGGCAGTAAGACAAGGCTCAGTCCTCAACCCCAGGAGCTAGACTCCAGCTGCCTCCTCTGCACACCCAGAGGTTTTGGTAGCATGTCAGCCTGCCATGGTTTTATATCCTTCCAGGTCCTACCAAGGAAGTATGAGCCTGGAGACAGTATGTGGTAGATGAGGCTGCTAGCGGTGGGTGTGGCCTGGGTCACTGCCCACCTGAGGCACTTTGGCCTGTGGACTGGGGTTGCGACTCAGACACAGGTTCAGAGCTCTGCAGGCTGCTCTCTCTGGAGGACTTGTGATCTCTGGTCTGTCTGGAATCCCTGGTGTGTTGCTCCCACCTCCCTCCACAGTTTTTCCCACCCCACTAGCTCCCTTGTCCTAGGACCTTAGCCTTGTGCACCCCCAGACCTGCATGGCCCAGGGCCAGGGAGACCTGGGATCCTGGCTGCCTTAGCGCCTGGTCCCTGCCTGCAGTAGATGGCCGGCACTCAGGGCCTGTCCTGTTCCTAGACCCGCTTCCACAGCCCTGTAAGCCCAGGTGCTATCCAGCAGCCCAGGCTGAAGCTGCTGGCCCGAGAGTACATTTCAGGACCCCTGAGGTCAAGAATGATCCCAGGCCTCAGAAACTGGGCTGAGACGCAGGCTCACTGAAGCCCAAGCTATGGCCACTCTCTTCTTCCCTTGCCCCTTCAGCTACTTCCTTAGGACCTGTGACGATGCAGGCCTTTCTGTGACCTGTGGAGAAAGCAGGGCCCCCATCTGGACCAAAACTGCTCAGCCTCCCTCCCTGTGTGGGGCTGGGTGAGAGGTGGACAGGAGGCCAACCTAGCCAGGCCTCCAGGGCAGGGGAAAGAACCGGTGGCCTTGAAGGTAACTCAGATATCTTCAGGGGCTGTGGAGAGGGGCTAGAGACTGCAGGCCCAGAGAGGGCTCCCCGTGTGCAGAGGAACCGGAGTGTGGCTCCCCAGGCGGATAGCAGTCTGGGTGAGGTGGCGCATGCCTGTAATCCCAGCACTCTGGAGGCTAAAGCAGGAGGATTGTTGTGAGTTTGAGGCCAGCCTGGGGTACACAGTGAGTTCAAGACCAGCCTGAACTACATAGTGAGACCCTGTCTCAAACACACACACACACACACACACACACACACACACACACACACACAAAACCAAGCAGGTGGCAAATGTGCCTGTCATGAGAGGTGGGCGAGGCTTTGGCACTGGCCAGGGAGCTCCCTGGAGCCTGGCGTCATGCCCCACCCACAAACCTCCTGTCACTGAGGCTGTATCCATGGGCAGCCAGACACGGTCAAGGGTGGACCTTCATGTGCCTGGACCCCACCCTGCCTTGGCCCTGCACCTCATGCCTGGTCCTCTTGGAGTTCTCTCAGGGCGGCTGGGGCTGGATGGACATGCACTGGGCTTCCCTCTGCCTGCTGCCATCCTGCAGACCTTGGCCATCCTCTTGTACTCTCTGGAAACAGAGTTCCTGTAGGCTCCAGGAGGGTAGGGACACACGTCCAATGTTCATTGCCCAGAGCAGTGCCAGCTCACAGGAACTTGGTGCATGCTGGCTGGCTGGCTGGTTAATTAGTTATCTGGTTAGCTGGCTGGTTAGTTGGCTGACTAGTTGGCTGGCTAGCTGGGTGACTAGTTGACTGGTTATCTGTTTGGCTGGCTGGTTGTTTGTGCGGGCAGATGAATGGGCTAGGAGATGGGCAGATGGACAGGTTTGGGGGTACATGGCCTAAGGATGAGCAATGCCACAGCAGCTCATGCCTGCCTTCCCAGGGCAAACATGGTACCTTCTGGCACCAGGCTTGGACAGGGAGGTCCAGGAGTCTCACTTGGTCCTTCTGGCTCTGTGAGCGAGTGTGAAGGAGAGCGGAGCCCTGCCTCCTCCCTTCTCGGGTGTGTGGGTTTGTTCCAGCCCTTGCCTTCTCCCCCATGGCTGGGTGTCCTTACGCAGTGAGCAGCCCACACAGCTGTTCTTGGCAGCCCTGAGCCAGGCTTTTCTTGTCCCTGCAGTGTCTCTGGGTTGAATCTCTCTCCATGGCCAGGTGTTTCTCCTGAGCCCACCCTGAGCAGCTGTCCCCAAGCTGTGAGTGCAGTGGGTCGGCAGTGATGACAGAGGGTCACAGAGGGTCAACAGACCACCCCTGCAGCTGCCTCAGTGCCTCTGGGCGCGCTGGAAACCCACATTCCTGGGGGACTCACAGCGAGGCTGATGCTCCAGGGCCTCGTGGAGAGAGCTGTGGGAGGACTGGGGTGTGGTTCCTCAGCCAGGTGGATGGACCCTGCCCACCTAGACGATGGCACGTGGGCAGGGTGGCAGGAGGGCCCTCAAGGGACCCATCGCCAGCCCATGAGAACAGGGACACACAGCAGGCGCTGTTCCCTGTGTGCTGATCGCAATGCTGTTGTCCTCTGTCCATGTGGTCTGTCCTCCATCCAGACCCCACCCTGTTCCCATACCCTGCACTCTGCAAATGGGCCCTGGGGGCACTGGGCAGGGTCCTGTTAGGCCACCTGGATGTGACCTGACACCATCTGGGTCTTGTCACTGGCCCCTCTGTCCACCACACGGGGGCAGGGAGTACTTGGCTGGAGTGGCCATGGAGCAGGGCCTGCGGGTGTGCTGTGGGAGGGCTTTCCTTCCTAAGGGTGGAAGACAGCTAGCTGGTTTGAGCCACCCTGGCTGGTCCAGGACAGGCTTGCAGGGCTTCCACAGGTTTGTGGAAGTGACCAGACTCAGGACTTTGGCCACGGGTGTGGCTGAATATACAGGGGACTCTGGGATGGGCAGGTGGGGAGGATAGGGGTGGGTGAACACACAGCCTGGAAGTGTCCCTGCATTATCCTGCATGCTGGCCGAGAACTGTGACCCCAGTGTGAGAACATCCCTGCTTGGGCAGCAGGCATCCCCATAGTACCCAGGGAGGCTGCTATGGGCATGGGGTCCCTGCCAGCCTGTCCTGGCCAGGCCTCTAGTGCCTGTCCCTTCCTCCACATCTGCAGATTTAAAATCACTTCCACATGAAAAGTGGCATACACAGGGATCCACTCCAGCCCTGCCTGTATGGCTTGGCAGGACAAGGTGGGCATGGGCAGAGACCTCATGGGCCTCCCATTGCACTAGGATGTCCTGGCAGTGGGAATAGGCGCTATGCCAGGGTGCCCACAAGGCTGGCAGGGCCCTGCCCCCACCATCCTTCCCACAGCACCACCCTCAGCTGAGGTCACCCTGTGGCCACTGCCTAGGAGTCCCCAGGCTGGGTCTGATGTCTCCAGGATGTGGGAATGTGGGAGGGATGGCCTGGTGCACACAGGGCCAAGGGTGGGCTGTGCTGAGACTGTCCCTCTCTGTCCCCAGGTGAAGGTCACCATATCCAGAGGCGGTGACCAGAACAGTGGTGACGACAGTGTCCTTGAAGCCACCAGCTCCCACAGGAGCCACTCCCAGGACCAGCTCAGCGATGTGAGTCCCACAGCTGCCCTCGGGTGATGGCCCTCGAAGCCTCAATTCCCTCCTGGGGTTGCAGATTCCCTGGGGCTCTGGTTAATGATTGCCAAGCCCTCCCAGTGCCCAGGTCTTACCCTAGAACCCCAGGAGGAGTTCCTGGAGACATGGTCAGGCCACCAGGACCCTGTGTGGGAAGCCAAATGTCCCCTTGCAGATGTCCCCTGTGCTTGGGCTGTGGGTGGAGTTCGTCTGCAGTGAGCCCAGCTATGGGACCCTGTGAGCAGGGTTGTGGGGCACACTGGATGTGGAAGGTGTCTCTGCTGCCAGAACCCGCCCTGGGGCTGACCAGGGCCACAGCGGGGTGGGCTGTGTCTCTCAGGGGCTGGCTGTGCAGGCAGGGGCGCCCTCGGGGTCAGCCAGCTCAGGTCAGATGGGGCAGCCTGATGTGCACAGCCAGGAATTTGACCAAGGTTGGGGTACAGGAGCTGAACCAGCTCCTGCAGTGGCCAGTGAACAAGTGGCCCCAGTGCCACTGAAACAGGCCTGGGGCATGGCTGAAGAGTGCCCACCGAGCCCAGGGCTGCTGCCCCAGCCGTCACCCTCACCTGCCCTTCCTTCTGTCCACTGTCCACCTCCTCCTCCCCTGTGGACCCTGGGAAGGAAAGGCACAGCAAGAGAGGGTGGGAATGCTTCAAGCACAGGCAGGGATGGGGCCTGAGCCTTGGAATTCCTGCATCCCTGTAAGGACGGCTGCAGCAGTGCCAGCCCAGTGGGGTTGTGCGCAAACTGGCCAGGGTGTCTGGGAGGCAGCCCTGCAGGACAACTGGAGCTGCTGTGCTGGGAGGGAGGGGTCATGCTGCTGTAGGAGGCCCCTGGTGCCCTGGCAGTGTGCCCACCCCAGCTCCAGGCCCTCCTGGCCCACCAAGCTGCTCAGCTGGGCTTCCTTTCCTGTGGGGCACTCCTCAGCTGGGGTGGTGGGCCCCGTGGCAGGGGTGGCCATCACTGACTATCCTTCTTCCTCTTCCCACAGAGCTCGGCGCAAGCAGTGTCCGGGAAAGGCTACTCTGTAAGTCCCCTGCCCTCTCTTGGAGGCCCCAACACCTGGCATTGTCCTCCCTCCTGAGGCCTGGCTGGTTCTGCTCCTGCAGCTGGGGCACAGTGAGGGAGCTGTGCCCTGGGCAGGGTCACAGGGAGCACCCAGTTCAGGGACCCGCTGGTCTGGGACTGCATCAGGCCCTGGGTCCCAGGAGGGGGTGCTTACCATGACCTAAGGGTGGCACCTGTGGCCTCAGTGGGGTGTGTGTATGTAGGGATGTGTGGAGGGTTTGTGGCCCCTGGGGAGCAAGCCATGTGCTTCCAGGTGCTGCTGCCTGGGGCCTTCCCTGCCTGGTGATACCCTCAGGCAGGTCAGGTGAAGGCCATGTGCTGGCATCCCTCGGGGGCAGCCCCTGCGCCCTCCTCCTGACTTATTTTATTTCCCCTTAAGTGTCAGGAGGGACGTTAATGACATCATAAAATCTGGAGCTCTGTAAAGCTGTTGGTTTCTGCAGATTTATGGCCCTTGCCCCTGTCCCTGAGGCCCAGGTTTACTGCCAGCTGTCAGCCACTCTGTACATCACAGCAACTTTATGGGGTGCATAATTAACCCATTAACTGCCCTGGGGACCTAGCAGGGACACCCCAGATCCCAGGGCACTGGAGAGGAAGCTGGGACTGAACAGCATAGAGTGACAGCTGTGAGTGGAGCCTGCAGCAGCCAGCCCCTGTTCCGCCTCCTCCTCCCCAAGGGGAAGGTCAGTGGCCAGTGCTCCTCTGACCTCAGTTCAGCTCCAGCTGCGGTGTCCTTGAGCCTGTGACTTGGGCACTCCCAGAGGGTGCTTCAGGACCTGAGACCCTCCTCGACGGCCAGCATCCCTTGGAGGGAATGTGGCAGTGGGACTGGGACAATGGCAGCCACTTCGTCCTCTCTGTGTCCTCCTCTGGGGTCAGCCATGTCCCACCCTGGGTGGCGCCTGTGAGCAGTGCCAGGCAGGGCAAGGCAGGGCAAACTCTGGGCTTCTGTATCCCACAGCCCCCACCCACACCTACATCCTGCTGCCTGGGGACATTCAGGGCCATGGGAGCCCCTGGTATGCCTGCCCATGTGTGGCAGTGGGCAGGGTTGAGGAGAACGCAGATAGAGCTGCCGTCACATGTGGAGATGCTTTGCAGAGTTTGGACCTGAGCCCCAGGTCCCCAGGGTCAGGTGCCTCTAGGCAGGAGTGCCGGGTCCTTGAGCAGACACCAGGCCTTGTGGTTTACGCGACATCTGGAAGCATAGAGAGGAGCTGTGCATGTCCACAAAGGGTCCCCTGTGGCTCGGGTTTCCCTGCTCTGAGCCTGAGCCATTTGTTATTCGGGTCCTCTCTCCAGATGCTGTTTTGTCTGTGCTTTCTAAAAGCAACCTGTAGTCAGCTTGCCGGTCAACTGACAGGGTTCCCTTCTGGGTAGGCACCCAGGCACTCCTGGAGCCCTGGTGTGTGCTGGCCCTGATGCATATGGTCAGCTTCCATGGCAGCTGGGGTATGCTCTGGCCCCATGTGCAGGTGGGAACGTAGGCCGTGTCTTCCCAATACCTGCAGGCTGTCACCACCCATAGAACTCTGCCCAGAAGCCATGTGGGGTACAGGTGTATCCATCAGTTTTGCTGTCATGGGGACACAATGCCCAACACCATAGTGTAAGTGGGTTTTGATCCGGCTCATGTTCTAAGGGGTTCAGTCCATGGTCAGCTGGCTCCAAGGCAGCTGTTGTGGCAGAGGGGTCTGGGGAAAGAGCTGCTCAGTTCACAGTGTCCTTGAAGCAGAGCAGGGGACAGTGCCAGACAGGAGGAGACCAGATCCAGTCCCCAGGGCCACACTGCCACCACCCAGAGTGTGCCTCACCATCCCTGGGCAGTTTCCCAGCCAGTTGGACACAGGCTGATGGTCACAGGGTGGAGCCAGGCACCAAGCAGACAGGGACTGATTGTCCACCCTCCTAGAAGGCCTGAGAGCAGGGCAGAGATGGGCTGTACCCAGGACTGAGGTGGCCTGCCCAGAAAGGGCTCAGGAGAGGCAGCCCTGGCTGGGCCAGGGCAGAGTGGCTGTGGCCAACACTGGGTCACAGTGCCTTAGGCATGGGTGTGCCAGTTGATCATGTGGGTACCGTTGTGCATGAGTGGGTGGGCGCCCATGCCTGCACAGCTCACACCTGGCTGTTTGTAAGCTGTGTTGATACATGTCTGTGTCACATTTGTGTCTGTGGACAGAGCCTGCATGAGGACTGTACATGCCTCATCTGGAGGGACCACACAGCTGTCTCTGGGTTTCTGTGTGTGCATACAGTGTGTGCAGGGCTCTACGTCTCATGTCTCCACAAGTCCCTGTGTGTCTGTGTGCGTACTTTGTGTGCATGTGTCTCTGCAAGTCCCCATGTATGCGCATGCCTCCTATGTCTGTGCATGTCCCTGTGTATCTCTCTGTGTACACGCCTCCATGTCCCGTGTCCCTGTGTATCTGTGTGCATACATCACAGCTGTGTCGCCCTGCCTGTTGGGGAGCCCTTTCCTTCCTGCCAAGGCCTATGCCAAGTGCCATGGCCTTGTCAGCCGGCCCGGCTTTACACATGGTATGTTAAGGTGGGTTGAAGTCACCAGGCTTCATCCCTGTGGGTCCCTAATGCTGCCTGTTTGTGGCAGCTCTTGTCCAGAAGCACAGCCCCAGCACAGCCTATGCCCTGTTGGTCAGAGAGTTGTCCTAATTTGGTGATGGCACAGCCCTGCTGAGCTATAGCCATCTTCCCACTGGGACACAGGGTGTTCTAGAAGAGCTGCTCCCAGCTGGCATGGAGGGCCACAGGGTCCAGGGTGGAGGATGGTGGCTTCACTAGCCATGAGGCTCAAGGCCTGGGGGCCAACTGGGCTTTCAGGGCTCCAGCCTCCATGTCTCTCACAAACAGGGCCACCATGGAGCTCCAGCTGGGCCCAAGCCTGAGTGCCTCCACCTCACACAGTCCCCAGGCATGGCGCACACGCTCCATGCTCAGTGCCGGTGGCTGAGGTGTGGCTGAGGCCTCGGGTTACCCTGACCCCGGGAGCTAATGGGGTCTGCAGCAAGGACGCACACAGTCACAGGTGTATGGCCCATGTGCAGGGCAGAGGCCTCACATGCAGGACACTGACAGTGTGAGGGTGTGGTGGAGCCTGGGCTGCACACAGGACTCTGTCCCACCCTTCCTTGAGCCCAAAGGCATCTAAGCCACCCTGGCTTACCTGGCCCATGTCCTTGTAGCCACTATTCCCTGGGGCTCCCCACTGCTTTCCCCCTCCCCCCGCCGCCCCAGGCTGCCTGCACTCTGCCCTCCCTTTGTATTTCAACCTGGCTCCATCCTCCAGTGACTCTTCTGCCCCAAGTGGCTTTTCCCCCCCGCCCACAGCCTCCAGGCCTTCCTCAGCCTGCCCAGTAGGACAGTGGGACAGGTATATCATGGTGGGGTGTGGGGTAGTTGGTTGCCCCACCCCTGTCAGTACCTAAGCGGGTTGGCACGGCCCAGGGCTGGAGGGCGAAAGGAGACCCAGGTCTTGGTGGTGGTGCCTGGGTGTGCTTTCTGGGCTCCTCCTGGGCCCCAGCATGCACAGGCAGCCACACTGATTTATCGCTTGCTCTGGAGCATGTCATGCCATGCATGTGGCAGTAACAGCAGTATCTGCAGGCAGGTGTGAAAGCAGCTCCTGGGGCCATGCAGAGCTGTGCCAGTGGTCATGGCCTTAGTCATGGCCACTACCTCCGTGTTGCTCCTAGTCCTCTTGGACTAGGAGATGTCTTGGGCTGCCGCACTTCCCTCTGACTGGGCCAGGCTCCCAAACTCCCATGGCACCACAGTTTCTAGCAACAGCTACCTGTGTCCCTGGATTGGCATAGCAGAAGCCTTGCCCCTGCCCTGGAGCTGGTCGTGCTCCTGTACCCTGACTCTGCAGATGGGCCACTGGATCCCAAGGAGATAGGGGTCCCCAGGGTGGGAACGTGCCCCCTTCCAGCCGGCCCTTCTGGGCTACAGCTACCCATAATCAACAGGGGCTGATTCCCTGCATCCATCCCACCCCACCATGAGTCCTGCACTCCAGAGGCTCAGGACTGTGAGGGCCACTGGTGCTGTCCCTTGGGGGCCACTACAGTCTAAAGTGCAGAAGGGCAGAGGGGTGGCCCAGCTGGAGACGGGTCGGGCAAGCTGGGGGCCATATGGGGACTAGGTGCCCTGGGAAATGGAAATTTGATTATCTGGGAGCAAGCTTGCGCTGTGACACCGAAGGTTAGGAATTAGTGTTAACAGCGTTTCTGGTTAAGACTTTGTGTTGATAAATAATTCATGAGGCAGTTAGTGCTTTGCATCTGACAACACAAGAATACATGCATACAGACAGCTCAGAAAGGTCAGCGTGTGCCACAGCCGGCCGGGCCATCTTTCATTCGTTCCGTCACCGCCGTTAATTCTTCCTGCAAGAGAGGAGACAGAGGGAGGAAGAGGGACACCTGGGGGCTCAGGAGACTGCAGGATGTGAACAGCCGGATTTCCAGGAGAAGGAGAGGAGGGAGGTGAGGAGCAGATGCAAGATGAGCCTGCCCCAGGGCAGAGGGGAGGAGGAGAGGTGGGCATTGGAGGGCTTCATCGCTCAGATGAGTGGCCACCCAAGGTGACAAGTGACCCAAGATCTGGAGGACAGGAAGGAGCTCACCTGAAACCATGTACAAGTGCGAGCAGATACAGGTGTGTGTGCAGACGGCTGCATGCCCGTGTACATCTGTGTGGCAGGGTGCACATGTGTGCCCGTGACTGCATGCATGTATGTGTGCCTGCATGCATGTATGTGTCCCTGCTTATGTGTGCCCGTGACTGCATGCATGTATGCAGCTGTGTACTCCCACTGCATTGAGGGCGGTGGAGGAAGGGGCTGGGCACGTGTGTGTGACTCCCACTGCATTGAGGGCGGTGGAGGAAGGGGCTGGGCACAAGGTGGATCCTCAGGCACCTGCAGACCATCCTTGGAGG